AGACATTTTTGTTTTCCTCTAGAAAGAAATGAGTCTGATTGGCAAATCTGCTTCTATTAAAATCATTGGGAAATTTGCCAATTACTTCAGCGGGTACAATATGGCACCCATGAGTTATTATTGCAGTTACTAATAATCTACCATAATATCATACAATTACATTACATTTGCATACATTAAAAAAGATAACATTTCTGCCTCTGAAGACCAGATAATCTACCTCACAGTTTGTATAGCCAGCTAAGTTAAGTGCTTGGGGACTGTGTCAATGAAGTGTGTCTTTGCTAGATTGTGTTTCTAGGATATAGTTTATAATAAAAGACCGTGTATATAAGGCACAATTCCCTCTACATGCTTACTTTTTTTTACTTTTGCTCCAGGAGGGGTAGTAATTTTATTTTGATATATACCATCAGCCAGTGCCTCTCCCCAGTGCACACATTAGCAGTAGGTAGACTGAGCAAGGCTCCCTCCACCCTCTGCCTCCCTCTGCCCATTAATCCCTCATTAACATGTAAATACAGAAATAAGTAAAGTTCTGGTTCCTTCCTATATCTTTTCAGACCCCAAGTTGTATTAGCTCCAGAGAGACATTTATTTTATTGAAATTATTAATTGTATATGCTTTGCTACTAAATATGCAAAATTGATCATTTATGGAGAACCTGTTTAATTCATGGGTCTGCGACATAATTGCAGACTGGTTATGCCACGTGTCCTGAGCCTTCTTGTAAGCTATCCTCTGTCCTCAACTGGACAAAAAGCTATTAGGGGCAAAAGGATATCTTAGACTGGTTTATTTAGTCTCCTAACAGCTACAGAGTTTTGGACCTCTCTTTAGGGAAATTCCACCAATGTAATGTCTTTTTCTGGTGCCAGGTCTAGGCAAGTGTATTAAATCTGAATGATCTGTGTATATAAACAGCCCCAGCTTGGAGCAACCTCGGTGACATCTTTTATAACCTAACAGATCCAGATCTGTATACTCAGGACCCAGAGAGGACAGCAAATATTTTTTGCTTTTGTTTTATTCTTGAGATTTTTTTTACTTCCTCATACTCAAGTTGTAAAACTTCTTACGCTGCTTCACTCTTGGGAATGATGCAGTTATTCACCAAGATCAGAAAATAAATGCTTGTACAGAAAGAGCCCAGCAACCTGAAGATGCATTTTTAAGGATCTATGTTTTTTTTTCAGTGAACAATCTTAAGATACAATTACCGTTTATTTTGGAGAATTGCTTTAAATGACTTCGATCTTCTGCATTTTCATTTTAAAGCTCTTCTCTTTACAATCTTCTTGTTGCTAGAAATAGAGCAGTGATAATTAGACCAAATATCTTCACATATCTGTCTTCATACCCGAGATCCAGATGGGCTGCAAGGGGCTACAGAAACAGCTCTCACTTTGTTGAATGCAGATCAAGTTTGGACAGTACAAGCAAATGCTTTTCTCTGTCATATTCTAGCTATTCATCACAGGGAGAGTATGAGTTAGAAATACTATCTAAATGCTCTTTATGGATTAGAAGGGACCTGTCAAGCATTCTAGCTGACCATATTTCTTTTATCTCCTTTCAGCTGTGTTACTGCTTTGCTTTAAAATAGGAAGATCCTGACTTCTTGTGGACTGTGCCACCATCTATGTGATTATATTAATTCTGGAAATGTGCAGCTTAATTGCTACAGGAAAAAATTTATGCTGTGTTTCTTCACCTGCTGTGTTGTGTAGCCATATGAGGAACTAGACTGAAAAATTAGGCAAAATATAGGGACTCATTCTAAAGTGACTTCTAACTAATTTTGCACTCAGAGGTTGTGCACTCACCTGTAACCAAACAATTCGATAAACAGTTGCCTGAACTACAGGCATGGAATATTACATTGTCTGGCAATATTGAGATATGGGTTGTTCGGCCTTTTTTTTTTTTTTTTTTATCACTCCAGCTACTGTTCTTTGATGTAAAAGCAGAAGCAGCTTCGACAGGGCTAAGATGAAGATCTCTGTTTGAAGTCATCCTGCCAGGGTTGTCCTGGACTTGGTGCCCACGTGAGCTGGATAAGCGATACACTCCTTGTAATGAAAGCAGACAGACTGTACCAGCTCCTCTGTGAAATCTGATGTACAGCAGTATGTCAGCTGGTTGCAAGGCAGTTGCTATCTGAGGTATCTCAGCAAATTGCGTTTTTTGTAATCTATCCTAGAAAGGGATTTTCTGTTAGGGTTCACACTGAAGTGTGCAAGCAGAATTGTGAGTTGGTACAAGAAGGGAAACGCATCCCTTTGCGCTTGCCCCAGAGTCTGAGGCTGGGTGCCTTTCAGCTGGTGAGATGTCTCTCCTAAATTGGTGTGGCTGTTTGTGCAATGAGGTGCCAGTGAGCAGTGCTGGGAAGGAGTGGTTGAATCAGCTTTGAGTTCTGGCCATGGATCCTTACATCCCAGATGGTCTCGTGGCATCACCCATGGGTTTGATACGTTTTGAACTCTAGGAAAAATGGTTTACCGTAGTGACAGAGACACAATGATATTTTTTGCTTGTAAGCAGAAAGAGGCAGCATCTATTTGCTATGTAAAGAAGGTGTGCATCTCTTCAGTCATGGCACAACTGTTGATATTACTCAAAGATCAAAAGCCAAATTACTTTGAATAACCTGAAACCTATCACTACTTCACGACTGTCCCAAAAGACATTAGCTGGAGTAGCTTGCTATTTTGAATTAGAAAGCAGATAAAGTAAGTCAGAGATAAAAAGTTCTGCTGGTACGTTCAGTGGGAGCTATTTATTGTATGGTTTTGTATCTTCAACAGACTATCAGAAAATGGCATTTGAGTCCTGAATGTTAAGACTATTTCATAATCATTATTAACCAGTACTGTCGTAATGAGCCTGCTTGCTTTAGCCCTCGGGTAACAAAGTTCACTGCTCCATCAAGCTCTGTCATAATCAGCCTTATTATAAAAACATAATATTAGAACCTTAAAAGGCTCCCTGGGCTAGTGCTATAAAAACTGGGAATGAACTGAAGTAATCTTTAGGCTAGCAGCAATTGCACTGGGAAAATGTAACCATTTTTATGCATGTAATGTACATGCTCCCTCCCCACCCTCTTCATGCTCTTCTCAACAGGACAAAAGCTATCCCTCAGACCCCTTTTGGAACCAAATTAGCTCATCAAAGCAGAATAAGTTTATAACGCAGTGTTCATTGCATACCAAATGCCCATGCACTGCTTCGATTTCCATTCTTTGGAGTGCAGTTGCCATGTTTTGAGTATTTCATTTCAAGGAGGAAAGCTATTAAGTGTTTCCCCCAAAGTAGCTGATTATTCAATGGCTAAAGATGTCAAGGATAATGAAATAAAAAGGGAGCTAGGCTGTGATAGTCTTCATCAGGAAAATGCATCTCATTAGAAGGCATTCCCACCAGAGAAGTCAATGGTATTACATGCATGAATTCCTTTCTGCTGTTAGGTTGTTAACCAAGTTTTGGATGCAAACAGCATGCAGCCTCAATGACAGTGCACAACTGTGTACAAACAGTAATTAATCGTTGGCTTCCTGAATGGAGCCTCTGTGAGGCTGGAGGCAAATCAAAGGGCTGGCCTGGTTTCCAGTGTTTGAGGAACGTGCCATGCTCTACAATTGGGAACATTCACGTTATGAATATCACCTTGTAAGCCATGTGGCAGGAGGCTGAGCGTAGCTGGCCTCCCCGGGCTCAAGTCTGTGTTCAGCAGAAGGACCTGCCCTTTCGTGTTTGGTGATGGGGACAAACTGTGCGTGCTGTGATCCAAGGATCCTTCACTTGAGCTTCCTGGCAATTCTGGAAGCAAAAAGAAAATCACTCCACTACACAAAATATTTGTATGTGATTTTATATATTCAAGGCTGTTTGCAAGAGTGCATTTTTGAAAGGGCAATGGTGTTTTCTACAGGCAGACACACAGTAGAAGTTTATTGATACTTTGGCATCAGCAGCAAAGACCAAATACGCTGACAAGAGGTGTAAGTGCTCTCCCCAACTCCCTGCCCAGTGTCCTGGCTGGAATTAAGAGCCTTTTGTCTAAGCAGTGCATTCTGAGGCAGAGAAGGGTGTTGTGTCAGTATGAAACACAGTGGTTGTCATTACAGGATCAACACATTACCAATGATCCTTGCAGCGGTGTCTGAGAAACCTCAATATTTCCTTGCACTTATAAGAAGCAAAACGGCTTCCCAACAGAGAGCACTGTGTGGGAAATGTGGGCAAGTATCGGTCTGCTGGGAAGGCTAATGAGCGTGTCACTGTCATCATTGGTGCAACTATAGGTTGGGGGGGGTTGTGCTGAGACACAGTATGGAGGGCAGGGCCAGGGAGACTGTCAGGCACTAAAGTGTATTGCACTGTATTACAAAATCACCCCAAAAATATCACAGTATCTGCAGTATATATAACAGTAATAGTCTCCAAACTGCAGCTTGCAAGAGCCATACTGCAGCACATGTGTCCATCATTACAGAGTACCAGGACATTTTCTGCAATGATAAAATCCATTTTCCTGAGCCGATCAATGTGAGAGTGAACAGGACTTCTCCCTGTGCTGTATATGTCTAGCAAAAGGAGATAGAAAACAAGAGGGCTAAGGAAGTCATATAAATTGAGTGACTCTGTGGTTTTATGATATTCATATGAAAATAAAACTGGGCTGGATTATCAGTTGGTGTAAATCATCCTAGGGACACAGTACCATTTATATTGGCTGAGATGCTGTTCCTCTTATTTGTCTAACATACGTGTGATAAAAGTCAAAATCTCAGTGATTACTTTTTCATTCACCCATGTCTCTTATTTTGCAGCGGTGGTTTTTTCCCTTCACATCATTATGATGGTCCACGTTGCTGAGTAGATACTGGTAGAGAGCTTTAGGTTCTCACAACTTTGCAAGCAGACTTCTATACCTACACGTTTTTCTTTCTATCTGTAAGCCTGACATTGACCAGTGTTACTTGTACCCTGACAGGTCTGATTGTCCGAGAGGTAAGCATTGAGATTTCCCGCCAGCAAGTCGAGGAGCTCTTTGGGCCCGAAGATTACTGGTGCCAGTGCGTTGCCTGGAGCTCTGCAGGCACCACCAAGAGCCGGAAAGCCTACGTCCGCATTGCATGTGAGTGCCTTTGCTCTGTGTGCTGAGTTGGTGGTGTTTAGGTGAGAAGAAGTGGACTCTCTGCTATTTGGGAGAGAGATTTTGTTTCCAACCAGTTAGGCTTTGTATTTTCTGAAGTTACTGATGCATACTAAAATTAAGGCCTTCAGAAGCATTGGTAAGATTTTCAGTTTATCCTGTTCTTAAGAGCAAAATCGCATTCTTCTCCTTTGTGAGGGAGGGGAAACATCAAAGCCAGTATTTATTGAGTACAGCAGTTATATGCCTCAAGAAAAGTGTCTAGAGCTAATGAGTAGGAATATTACCAAAGCAAGTTATGAAATGAGGTAACAGCTGTTCCTTTCACAGAATCACAGAATGGTTGAGGGACCATTCTAGAAGGGACCTCTGGAGGTCATCTGGTCTAAGCCCCTGCTCAAGCACAGCCACACAGAGCCAGTTGCCCAGGACTGATTCCAGATGGCTTTTCAATATCCCCAAGGAGGAAGAACCCCACCACCTCCCTGTGGTGACAGTGCTTGGTCACCTTCACAGTGAAAAAGTTTTCCCTGATGTTGAGAGGGAACCTCCTGTGTTTCAGTTTGTGCCCATTGACTCTGGTCCTGTCACTGGACACCACTGAGAAGAGCCTGGCTTCGTCCTCTTTGCACCCTCCTTCCAGGTGTTAGTACGCAGGGTTGAGATCCCCCTGAGCCTTCTCTTCTCCAGGCTGAACAGTCCCAGCTCTCTCAGCCTTTCCTCATAGGAGAAATGCTCCAGTCTCCTAGACATCTCTGTGGCCCCTTTGCTGGACTCTCTCCAAGATGTCCAAGGCTCTCTTGTACCGAGGAGCTCAGAACTGGACCCAGCACTCCAGGTGTGGCCTCACCAGTGCTCAGCAGAGGGGAAGAATCACCTCCCTTAACCTGCTGACAATACTTTTTCTCTAATGCTCTCTAATGCAGCCCAGGACACCATTAGCTTCCTTTGGTACAAGGGCACATTACTAACTCATGGTCAGCTTGGTGTCCACCAGGACCCCCCGGTCCTTTTCTACAAAGCTGAAAATATGTATCTCTGCAACCATACAATAAAGCTGCCATTCCTTGGTAAAGAATAAAATGTGTGCTTAGCATATCATGTAATCAGATTGGTAATAGGAGTTTGAAAGTGATCATCTCAACCCTAATATTTCATCATTGTTATTCATGGCTACTAACCTCAGTATTTATTTTGAACCATTCCCAGTTTAGACCCCAAGAACACAGGGCAACCAGTTCCCGGAAAACAGATCTTCATTTGACTGTACAAATATTTAATGTTCATTAATTTTCAAAGAGGTGCTTTTCTTTGTAATAGAGTAGTCACACTGGGGACTCCCATTTCTCTTTCACATGATGAAATCCTGTTTTGTATAATAGGAACAAAATATATCATCTGGAATTGTATCTCTTCCGCTGCTTTCACCTCAGAAAAAACACATTTTGTGAGAAAAGGTCATTAGAAGCTGGGTTTGCAGCATACTTATATTTCATGCACTGTGCCTAACAATTTATAATGAGAGAAGAATTCTTCCAGCCAAATAAAGCTTTTCATAGGCACGTTAGAGGAAAGACTCTCTGTCATTTAAAGCTCTGCGTTTAGAGCTTGGTTCTCCTTTTGTTCTTGAGAAAGTATTACTTAGTTAAATCCTCGAAGAGGAGTTGCCTTCTGTGTAAACATCCAGATACAAATCTCAGAGGTTCAATTTAAATGCCCATTTTTGAATGCTTTTAGTTGAAGTAACTGACTGGAAATAGAGGATCTGTACTTTTGAGTACAGGACTAACCTCAGAGATGAGTTTCCCCAGGGTTAAGGGGAGTTAAAATCATTGTACATACAGTCTTCCTGCAAAATTAGAAATACCATTACATATGTGCATAGTGCTTTCCCATGGCAGGAAACTTACCAAGACTTTGAGGATTTTCTTTTTCTGTACTGAAACAAAAGAGAGCGATTTGAAATTTTTTTCTCCTAAGCAGTCAGCACTTCAGAGAGTCTTAGTAATGTTTGAACAGGTTTTTTAGATTATGACTCCTAAGTTAAGTAGATTTTCATGTCCTGCCAGTTAGCCCTTGACAGAAGACCATTAAATTAACCCAGTGTAGAAGTCTGAGTGTATTTAACTTGATGGTTAAGTAACTTCTACATACTGCCATACCTATGCACTTGATTTCTATATAACACATAATCATTGTATGTGTATGCAAGTTATTTTATATCAATTGACATTTCTTCCAAGGTGTCCAGATTTCTACTGAAGGTGCTCATAATACAGTTTGCTTCTTTTTCTTACCATATATTGAAGAGAGAGGAACAATCAGTTCAGTGATTTTTCTAGCGTCTTGGTGGGGTTTTTTTTTTGAACAGTCTAATTAAATAAACTCCAGGGAGTCTTACGTGTTAATAACTCAAATGTGACTTCGTATTTTACTGAAGTTTTTTTAACCTCTTATTCCTGAATTTGGGGTTCTTGGGCAGCTGTGATGCAGGCAAATCACTTAGACTCCTTGGGATTAAGAGTTGAAGTGTTATGCAAACAACAGCAAAAACACATTTTCTGCATTTCCAATTTCACAGAATTCTCTAACTTTCTCAGGTAACTCATGACTATTTTTTTAGGAACTCAGACATATGATGTGGGATATATGCCTTACTTTGTGATGTCATTTAGTCTGCAAGATCACTATTTTAAACTGTAGTCTCAGATATACCAACACTTGTCTGTATGCAGAGCCTTGACTTCAGAGGACTGCACAGGCAATATAATAGTTGTTTCTTAATAAACTTTAAACACAGGTGGTAAATCTGATAGTTTCACAATGTGCCATGATACTGGAATGCAAGGCAGGGTCCATGCAGTATTTATTAATATGGAAAATCAAGGATGTCCAAAGTTTAAGAAGGACGGACGTATCCATCTCTCCAGCTCTGTCAGCAGATAGAGTTGCATGTTTGTCACTGATTCAGCCTTCACTTTTAATTGGTACAAAAAGTGAGCACTGACACTGAAAGGTTAGGGGTAAATGGAGCATGTAATGTGCTCTGCTTAAGTTATATTGTTATTTATCTTAATACCACAACCTGGTGATTTCATCTGGACAGGTACAACTGTAGCATAACTAGCCATGCGTAGCGCATTAAGAAAAGCTTCTCTCTTTCTCCCTCTCCTCTGCCTCTCCTCCTCCTTCATCCTCTTTGTCCTTCTCCTTCTTTTCTCCTTCTCCTCTTTCTCTCTTTTATCCCTTATGCCCACCGGTCTTATTCTGGAATTATTGTGTCCTCTCAAGGGCTGGAGCTGCACTCCATTAAAACAAACAAAAAAAAAAATATCATGCAACATCTCTGTTCACTGAGCGTGTAATAGAATTAACTGAAAAGTAATTTGAAAGTGTGAAAAATGTGCATCCTGGAAAAGCAGCTTGTATTTGTTTAATGCAGGGTCAGGCATGTGTCAGAAAGTACATAACAACCTAGTCAATGAAAGTTCTCTGCAAAAATCAATTGCAACATCACTCTGGCCAAGAGCTTCAGTTATTCAGGAAGGGATCAATCTATAAATATGCAGTGAAGATGCTTCTGGTTTTCAAAGGCTGCCCATGCTAGCAGTATAAACAGGAAAAGAGTCTCAGTCAAACCCAACATCCTGGCTTCTCTAAGCGTTCAGGGCATTTAACAGCATCTCACTATTGCACTCCTGTACCACAAGTATGCTAGGAAATCACTCCTTTCTGTGCAGACTGTTTCTGAAAAGGAGCTTTTTCCTATTTCATGGAATTCATCTTCTTGAGGCATTGGTCTCCCCATGAGAACAGAGCTGAGCATTTCATCCTCTTAAACTAGCAGATTTGTTGGGATTGCTTTTCACTTTGTCATTCTGATATCTCAGTAACCAGCAAAGTAGGGACACCTAATGTATGTCTTGGTGGAGCTGGAAAAATATAATTAATTTTCTGAGATACTAGCCTATGAAAGTGCTAAAATGCATTTCCTATTTATTCACACATTTCTTATTTATTCTAGGCACATCCTATCAGGAGCACTAGGAGTCACTAATATGTTTTGATGCGGTTTTTCTGCTCAATTAAAAAAATGTTACTTTTGTGGAGGGAGGAAGGAAGGAAGGGGGTTGAGTAGCTTTGCCTTTGGCTGAAAAAAAAAACAAGCCCAATATGAAGTTTTAATGTGAATTTTATGTAACAAGACTGATGTCATTGAACAGATAAAACCAAACAGGGCAAAATTCCTGTTAAAAGGATGAATGAGGTCTGAGTCTGTGTAACCAAGAGTAGAGTTAAACCCACTGGAAATTACATCTGATAAGACTAAACAATAGCTGCAGGATTTGACCTAATTTTTAGATCAGATAATAAAGGGGTGGCTAAGACAAATTGCTTTGAGCCCATGTGCATAGAGCAACCGCACTTTTCATTTGTTCCAGCTTGGTGTTGCTGTAGCCTCACAGACTTCATGATGTTAACCCATGCTGTCCTTGATAAAATCTAATAAGACTATAAGCCCTAAATCTTCTGCCAGATTTTGGATTTGCTGAAAACCTGTAGGAAAATAGCAGCTTACTCTGTAATTTCTCTTACCCGATCTTTTTTTGGTGTAATAAATGTGGATAGTCTCTTCTCTTTTCTTCTCCTTTATCATTATTTAAAATCAGATTTTTTTTTAAAAAATGCAATTTTAAAAAGCCCTGATATAGTAAGGAACTGTGCTTGTTAATCTTTTGCATAATTAGATACTAGTTTCCTATGTACTTATCTAAAAGCCTTTTTTCCCACAGACATTTTTTTCAAAGGAATGTAACTAATATATGCATGTCAGATACTGTATACTGATAAGATAAATGCAATACAGAAAAGTAGACTAGTTCACCTGATGGTTTATCTCCACTTACAAAGGCTATGCAGTCATATAAAGAAAGAGACATGAAAAAAAAAAAAAAAATCACAGATCCTTTACTGACACTTGG